AAATTATTCTATTATGTACAACTGCAAAGGAGAGTGGAGCAACAATGGAAACCATCCTTCAATTATTATAAAGTTACAGCCCAGGCAACTGTACTTATACAATTTAGTTATTATGCAATCATGACATTTCTAATGATATTTTTAGATTTTTTTTTGATAAGCATAGAAAACAAACTTTAGCTTCTAATAAGTTTCACTGGTCATATTATATAAATCTTCCTCATACAACAACATAAAGATATACCAAGGTAGATTGACCTAAAAAGTGTTGATAAAAAGGTCGGTTAACAAGAAACTTACACGCTTTTGTAATTAATTACAGTTAGTTTTTAATTATAATCAAATAAAAGCAATTAAAGAAATTTAAACAATTAATTGCAATTAATCGTTAAAATTAATTAGCAGTTAATTAAATTAACAGAAACATTAACTACAAAATGTATTTATTTTTAATAATGAATCAGAAACATTTTTCAATAAAACAAACAGTAACAGTTACAGTTTTTGTGAACAGTAACAATTTTTTTATGAACAGTCATTTTCATTTTATAATGAGCAGCAATTTCTGATTAAATTGCGAACAGTAATAGCAAATTTTTTTAAATCGGATGAACAGTACTTTCTCGAATGAACAGTAACTTTAAATTTATTTTTCCGGATTTAAATCGAAAGCTATAAACATATCAATCTTCTAGATTGTTGGAAATTTATCAAATAATTAAGATTATAGCATACAGATAAATCCAAAAAATAGACAATTAAAACTGGCCTGATCGGGAGCAGTCGTGTATTCACTGCCCTAGAAGATTGAGAACCCGCCTATCGCCCTAGCGCAGATGGTTCCCTCCCCCCTAGCGGTAAAAACCCCGAAAACGGCCGGCCTTTACACTCAGGCGAGATTGCAGAGCTTCACCTCAGATGAAGTAAGTTGCCCATAAAATAAAACTAAGATGTAGATGAAAATAATATGTAGGGGAGAGAAGAAAAACAAGAGAAACTTGTTCTTATTTTCCTTATCATTTTGAGCTCAACATAGGGATATATATATATATAGGGTTGGAAAAGAAGTTACAAAACCCGTAATTAATTCTGTAACGTTCGTCATAAATTTTGTAACGTTCCCCATGATTATATATCCGTTACACATATTTTTAATTGCATGTTTTAATTACAATATTTATTATAATTCATGAAGGCAAAATTGCCTTTTGTTAACAAAATATCTAACACTATCTCATTTACTAGTTCAAAGTAAGCACTTAATTTCCACATGCACAACACTTGAGACTGTCTATCAGTAACATGGTGCTCAACTAATAAATGGCAGATCTTCAACTAATATCCTCTTCTTCTTTTTTAGAAAAGGAAAAAATCAGTACAACCATCAGCAGGGGATTCAATCATCAGTCTAGAAAATATGAGCGTTGCTTTATTATTAAGGACAAGAATGCCTTGTTATAGGTTTCAAATCAACATACATGCATATAGAAGAATCAGGTATACAGCAGCATATGCAGTTTAATAGGAAAATCTAGTAAAAGATGGGACCTTCAAGGTTGCTGAGTAATCCATGATTCCCTTAATGCATCTGTAAATAAATCCTTCAGATGGACGTTCGAAGCTGCAACTCTCTGAGACATTATATCAAAATCCCCTCCGCTCCTGATGAGAACAAATGGTCATTAGTTTCGAATAATTAAAGGATATTTACATATATGATGACGTAGTTTATGCCCTCTGTTTTTAACAATCGACTTACGGATCGAAAACAAGGGCTCCAACTTCTTGAAAAATCATAGCTCCACCAGCCACGTCCCTGACACCAGAGAAATGGAGCAAAATCAACAGTGATTTTTAATGTAATCATGGGCAATTGGGCATTAACAAACTATGTAAGGCCATTATCACACAAACTTACCAAGGTCCTCCAAATCCAAGCTCATAAAAGAGATCGATCCTACCACATGCAATGCTGCAAAGGTTTAAAGCACAAGAACCACTCATTCTAAAGGATCTCACCTGATCATAGCAGACAAATAGACTTTAGCTCCAGTAAAGGGATTGTATAAGCTTAGAGCACTTTGAAGTTTTTAACAATCCAAAAAAAGGTTAACTGACAATTCTCCGAGTCAACAGATCCACTCCCCTTCATTATAGAATTAACCCCTCCTAAACAATTCAGACTAAAAGGAAGGAAAAATGATAGTATTGAAGCAATTACTGATACGAGTCGTCGTACGAGCAACTTTGATCGCGGAATTATCAAAGGTGGGTTGAGAAGAGGATGACAGAAACACCAGAATAATTCAGTATGTGGCGAAGGAAAATACCCTCTCTAGATTATGAGTATAAAAAAATTACAATCCCTCTCTCACAATCTCACTAGAATCGAGAACAAACTCTCAATTCTCTCTAAACCCTAATCTCTCTTGATTAGAATCTCTCTTTGATTACATCTGATTGATTAGAAACCCTAAACAACCTCTTTTATAGATGTAACAGCGTGGATGGCAAAGTGATAAATAACCAAGCCCAAACCTCATAGGAATTCATGCAAACAGAAACCCAAACGAACCAGGAAACTGTCGATGAGTCGACTCATAAACATGCATGAGTTTACTCATGTCAAGTGAGTCGACTCATGATGAGGTGAGTCGACTCGTCAGAAACTTTCGACAAAACGGCTGGGTTTCGTGAGTCGACTCATGATAAGCATGAGTCGACTTAACCTGATGAGTCGACTCATGTACATGTATGAGTCGACTTACGGGCTGAAACTGGATATTTTGATTCTTTGATTCGTCATCTTGTTTCACCCTTCAACCTGCATTCCACTGTATTGTTTTACCCCTCTATTCTCAAGTTACCATAAGAATAATCTATCCTCAAACTCCCATGAGGATCGCTAAGTTCTAAAGAGAAGATACACCAGTATCATGGCTCCCCCCTTTAAAAACTTGAAGTCCCATTCAAGTTAGAACTTCAGCTAAGGAATTTTGCGAGCTCCTCCTTCCCTGTTGAACCACTTAGCCTTGCTAGGAACCTGACCTTGACGTCCAATGAGAAATGAGTCCTTCGTCTCCCACCTCTTCATGGTCGTCTTCCGCTCCAAAATATAATCTTCCTTAAGCGGCTCCTCTCTATCAAACCATAAGTCTTCAACATGCGGCAAGATCACCTTGTCATCACCTTCATCATCCAGCAATGGAGGCTCGAACAACTTCAAATACTCGCTATTGATCACCGAATACATGCCTAAGTAAGATAGCAAATCCAGCCTGAAGGCGTTATCACCAATCTGATCGAGAATCCGAAACGGACCATAACATATAGGTTTCAACTTCTTCCCTTCTCCATTTAGCCTCTCCGTACTCCATCAGTCATCTTCTTCTTCCTTAATTTCTGGACTACTTCCAATGAAATAAGGATCTCGCCTAGCTTCTTGTATTATGATCGAGTCAAGACCATACACAGGATGTCCCCTTCACAGGATCTGATCGTTCTGATACCAACTTTATACGAGTCGCCGTGCGAGCACCTTTGATCGCGGAATTATCAAAGGTGGATTGAGAAGAGGATGACAGAAACACAAGAATAATTCAGTATGTGGCGAAGGAAAATACCCTCTCTAGATTATGTGTATGAAAAAATTACAATCCCTCTCTCACAATCTCACTAGAATTGAGAACAAACTATCAATTCTCTCTAAACCCTAATCTCTCTTGATTAGAATCTCTCTTTGATTACATTTGATTGATTATAAACCCTAAACAACCCCTTTTATAGGTGTAACAGCGTGGGTGGCAAAGTGGTAAATAACTAAGCCTAAACCCCACAGGAATTCGTGCAAACAGAAATCCAAACAAACCAGGAAACGGTCGATGAGTCGACTCATAAACATGCATGAGTCGACTCATGTCAAGTGAGTCGACTCATGATGAGGTGAGTCGACTCGTTAGAAACTTTTAATAAAATGGCTGGGTTTCGTGAGTCGACTCATGACAGGCATAAGTCGACTCAACCTGATAAGTCGACTCAGGTACATGTATGAGTCGACTCACGGGCTGAAACCTGGATGCTTCGATTCTTCGATTCGTCATCTTGTTCCACGCATCAACTTGCGTTCCATTGTATTATTTTACCCCTCTATTCTCAAGTTACCATGAGAATCATCTATCCTCAAGCTCCCATTGGCATCACTTATATTATAGAATATACCATATCTTAGAAAATGAATTTATTAATTCTTGTTCCTCATAAGGTTTTGAATATTTTAACTGATAATAATGTTTGAGTGGGGTTAAAAAGTGAATGCTAAAGGGAAAAAGTTATACAATATTGAAAATTATAAATTATAGGAATGAACATGAATGAACATACGCAATTATTCTTATAAATTAACTACCTTTAGAATAGCTATTACGAATTTGAAGTTCATTTCATGTTTGTTAGCTGGAGGACTTCCGTGTATACTATATTTTTTGTGTCTCTTTCGTATTCTTTAAATTTCCCGTCTGATATTATTAGGACTTTGGTTGTTGTCATTGAAGTCCCTCTTGATAAAGCAACATACAGTTGTCCAAGAGAAAAAACGTGTTGAGGTAGATAGATACCTATATGAGGAATTGTTTGTCCTTGTGATTTATTGATTGTCATTGCAAAACATAGCCATATTGGAAATTGCTTTCGTTTGAACTTGAACAAGAACCCTTCATCTTTTGCTGGAGATAATGCTATTCTTGGCAAGAAAACTTCTTTCCCTGCATATGTTGGCCCATTGTGATCTTAGCATGGATTATATTACAATTAAAATATTAACATATCATTCTTGTTCCGTTGCATAGCCCATTAGTCGAATCCAAGTTCCTTAATAAAATAATAGGACAATGTTTCTTTAATACCAGCTTGTGGGGTGGTAGTCCATTTGGTAGCAACGTGTTTAGGAATTCTGGCTGGTAGTGATGATTAGTGTCATCAACTTCTTCATCAAAGCTGTAGAATTATTTTTCTTCACCTGGAAATTGTTTTATGATTCTATCATTTAGCATGTCGACATATTCATTTTTTGTTGCCAGGATAGCTCGATCTTTCATATAGTCAATGAATTTGAAGTTCTCATCTAAAGATGGGAAAATTGCATTTATTAGACAATCTTCTGGTAAATCATCACTTTGATTCTTTATCAAAATAGAAGTGGGCAATGCTATTAGGTCATCAGCCACTGTCGGTTCATTTCCATTTCCAACTCTTAAAAGGAATTCGCTAAATGTTGAATCTGTTATTGCTCTCATATTCTTCGATAGCTTCAACTTTTCCATTTTGCTCCACAAATATGAGCTTACTAAACTTTCTCTAATAGTTTGTGATCTTATTGCGCGGGGTACTACTGGTAAAACTTGTCTGAAATCCCCACCAAATACTATTACTTTTCCACCAAATGGTTCATCTTGATCCATTATATCCCTTAATGTTCTATCTAATATTTCAATTGCAACAAGTTTAGCCATTGGAGCTTCATCCCAAATTATTAACTTAGCTATCTTAATCATCTTTGAGGTTCCATCTTGCTTGGATATGCTACACATAGATGATTTTGTTGTTGAGATTTTTATCTTAAATATGAAATGTATTGTTCGGCCTCCAAGTATTATTACTGGTGCCATGCCTGATGTTGCTGTAGCAAGATCTATCATCCCTTCTGATCTTACTTTGGCTAGCAAAGCACGATATAAGAATGTCTTTCCAGTTCCTCCTGGCCCATCAATAAATAAAATCCCTCTTTTATTTCCTTGAATTCATGATAGTACGGAAGTGTATGCATTATATTGTTCTGAATTGAGTGATGATTAAGCATTGAGGTCTTCATCTGGAATTTGTACATTGAGTTCATCTTGAATTTCTCTTGGGCATGAACTTCCTTTTGAATAAGTGTTAGTTTGAATAGACGATAAATCAAATTTCTTGATATCCTTTCCCATGCTCTCTAAGAAGAATTTAATGTTGCAAAGGGTGTCGTTCAAATTTCTTGATATCCTTTCCCATGCTCTCTAAGAAGAATTTAATGTTGCAAAGGGTGTCGTTTATAATCGAAACTTTCGTAGCACCAGAATTTAATGTTGCAAAGGGTGTCGTTTATAATCGAAACTTTCGTAGCACCAGGTTTCCTTAAGAAGTCTTTAGATAATGAGTCAAGGTATTGATCCCATAATTTATTAACATCTGCGGGCTCACAGTGAACCAGTATGGTTGCAAACAGGCGGTGAAGGGTTGCTGGCATTTGAAAGATGACGGCTTCATCTAAGCATTCTCTGATGCTATTATTTTATTCCAATAAACCTAATTTTTAAGCTGAATGTTTGAATGATGTTCATTGAATTCCATCCACGGTCAATAGATTCTCAAATGAGGTGGGGCATCTGATGTGAGTAAGTAAAAGGCGTAAGTAATATCTTTCTCCTTCAATTGGATTAACACCATTTATACGGCCTATCACTTGTCTTTGTTTTCTTGGACTTCAACATTTTGTTGTCGAATCCCAAACATAATATTCAGGAAGTTCACAATATAATAACTCTTTTTCTTGGTCTTTTTTTGGTTTTGATTTGTTGGCTTCTTTAATTTTTGAACATAGTGTAAAAAATTCTGTAAGCATCGTCTTGTGGACATGGTCCCAGTGGATGAGCTTCGATATGTCTTGATTTTTCCAATAGGAAACAAACTGTTGATTCAGCAAGTGTAGTTGTAAGTTGATGATAGTTGGGTAGATCTCATTAAGATAGAATTCATATATTCTCCACAAAGCTTCTTGAGCTGATACCCATCTTGCATCTTGAAAATTTTTGATTTCATTCGCAAGTATTCCTCCTTCATTATATTCAATGTTTACTGCCACTTTATCATGACCCTTGTATATGTATTTGTAAAGATACTTCACTGCTTTAATGCCTGAGCATATTTCAATATTAATGTGACAATTATAACGTGTCAGCAAATATGGATTGTAAGGTACAACCCACTAATTATTAAGGATTTTATTGCGGACCAACAGTTTTTTGTTATCATTCCTTCTCTTATAAATTGGGTAAGCATCTTTTGCTTGAATTGATTGTGAGCTAAAATCACGAGGAAAGTGATATTTGCATTCTCCATTTTGCATGCAACTGTTCTTCATGTTCAACTCTCCACAATGTCCGTGCATCATATGTTTTTTTACCAATTCATAGAGGATCGGTTGTTTGGATTGGTCTGGAATTTTTATAGATACATATTTATCATACTAATCTGATGATGTGATCTTGTGATCTCCAATAAGAATTATTAATATATGTGCATATGGTAGCCCTCTTTTTTGAAACTCAATCACATGAACATGTGCGACAACTTTCCCAAAGATCTCCTTCTTAAATAGTTAATCTTTCAAGTCTTCGAGCTTTGCTCGAAATATCCTTGAGGTTAGGTCTGGCCTGTCATTATGGCTTTGGCCTGGATGTAGTTTCTCTATGATCTCTTCCCATTCTGGATTACATGTTATTGTTATAAAAAGATCTGGCTTTCCAAATCGTTATACTAATAACATTGCATCAAGGTATCAGCGACACATGTCTCTAAGACCACCTTTGAATGATGATGGAAGAACTATTCTTTTGGCCACTTGGCTTGCATTTGCTTCGCCGGCAGCTACACTGTCGACAATGTCTTGGAATAACTCTGCTCTAATTTCTGATTGTTTATTTCTAAAGTAATCAAGCCTTGTTGTTTCAAGCTTTCTGTACATATTAACAACATATTGATGGAATAAACGACCTACTTATGTAAGTATAAAATATTGTCGAGTGTCTCTTATCTAGAGCTTATGACAATAATAATCTCGGCATGAGACTTTTTCGGGTTTTGGTGCCTTGACGCCTGTATATTTAGGCGTTAATATATGTTCATATATAATAATATTACTTAGAAATGTGAATTAAAATTTACCTTCACTTTCTCGGTTAAATATGTCTTTTGCAGTTGTGAAGGTAGGTGGAGATATTGAAGTTGGTATTATAGTTCTTTGTTGATTGTAAGTTCTAATATCACATTTATCCATTCTTTTAATATTTTGATGCCATCCAACCTCTCTATTTTGGAAAGAGTAAGGGATACTGCAGTGGACCATAACAGCTAAAATAGTGTTTCACTTGATGTCTTCCTCCTGAGTGTGCATGGACAATAATCTCTCTGTCTCAAATGGTGCATTATCATTATTTTCTTCAACCCAGATTCCAGCCACCTAATCTGCTGTTGGTGAGCTGTAAACACGTTGATCTAGTACAATGTCACTATTTATTAGTATCTTTAATTCTTCAAAAGATTGATAATCATTCAATTTGCGAAGGAACTTTGCATATGGGTTTCCTTATAATATATCCATCAAGCTCTTAGTTGTGCTTTCACTCATATTTGCATTGTCTATAATTTCCAATCGATTTTGCAACTCATTCTCTGTATCATAGAAGTAAAGCTGAAAGTATGAAGGCTTATTTTCCTTTGGAATTAGAGCCGGGAGATTATGATATATTTGATGCGAGCTCTTTATCAAATCTTGTCCCAAACGATGTGAATGAGAAAATACTGTTGTATATTCTAGTGTGGCTTCGAAATCAATTGCCTCTGGTGTATGCATTGTATAAAGGGTAAATAATTCGTTTGGAATATTCACATCTGCTAGGTGGATTTCACCATTGTGACAACAAAAAGTTTGAGGCTCATGTTCAAACTTTTTGGATCCATAATATGCACAAGACTTTGGAGTGTGTAGCTTATATAGTAAAGAACATACTGGTTCATGAAGTATTTGCCCTAGAACAAATATAAATAACTAAGAAACTAATATATAATGTTATATGGCTCTTTTAGTAAACTATAAAGTATATCTACACTAACCTTCATGCTCAAAGTCCAGTAGAAGGGATCCATAAAATAGATCAACTTTACGTTGTCGTTTGTCATTAATAGTATTACCAGAAGATTCATTACAATGTTGCTTTCTCTTATTATCCACACTTCTCTGAATGTAAGATTTCTTTTGCTCATCACTCAACTGAGAATATTTTGTTTTTTTAATTCTGGGTATTGGAGTGGTCTCTTCTGTTTTAAAAAATGTTCATGTCTTATTATAAATACATACACATATACTAATATAAAAATATATGAATAATTTTTTATTGAGTTCAATGCAAACCTTGGCTTGAAGCCATTTTAGGCGATAAAGTGTTGTATAGTAGTTATGTTATCCAAACCCCAGAGAATTAATTTCTACAAAGGAAAATAATATGTCAAATTACCATTAATTTATGAATATATATGAGCAATGTAGATAGTTAGACAAATTAGTGTAAATTTTCATAAAAATTCAAAAGTAAACGATCAACTATAATCATTATCATAATTAAAAAGAAACATTGATACTCAATACTAACCTGATACTCGTAATTTTGGAATAAATCTTGAGTACAAAATTGGTATTGAGATGATATTATCCTATAGGTAAAAAATATGTGTCAAAAAATGAAAAGCTGTATGAAAATTATATCAACAACAAAAGGGGAAAATATACTTAAAAATTATAATTGAACTTAATCAAGGGACTTTAGAATAAATTAGTCAACTATTCTTTGTACACAATAATTTTGATGGTACTAGTAAGTAATCAAACAACATGCATTTTTTAAACAATTGTAATAAGTCAAATTTTATTCAAAAATAAAGAGAATAAGTAAAATTAAGAGGAGCTTATATTGAAGTTTACTAATAAAAAAAACTATAAGTAAAAGTAATTTGTTTTCTTATGCGTTAATAAACTTCTTTTGCTCAAATGGATAAGTTCAAAGCCCATAATTTTCTTAAACAGTGGGTGCAGTGTATTTTCGCACCTGGTTTTCGTATACCAAAACACTGAGCCCACCACAGGAATGATTTTTCTGCAAGTCTAAAATACACAAGGATACTAATAAAATTGTCTTTCACTATCATTTACTAATAAAAAAAACTATAAGTAAAAGTAATTTGTTTTCTTATGCGTTAATAAACTTCTTTTGCTCAAATGGATAAGTTCAAAGCCCATAATTTTCTTAAACAGTGGGTGCAGTGTATTTTCGCACCTGGTTTTCGTATACCAAAACACTGAGCCCACCACAGGAATGATTTTTCTGCAAGTCTAAAATACACAAGGATACTAATAAAATTGTCTTTCACTATCAACGCTGCCCTATTCCTGCCTCTCAGCTCTCAGCTCCATCGTCAGCTGCCATATGCTACCGTCGGAAACCAACTTACAGATACCCGCCGTCTCAACCTCCGGAAGGGCGCTCTGCCTATTACTTACCACTGCCACCGAGGTATTTCTCATGGATTAAAACATATTGTTGTTTAATTTTGTCAAATCTATATGGGGTTTTATGTTTAAGAGGAAAATCGAAATGGGTTTGTTTGTAATGGTGTCTTAAGATTTTATTTTTTACGGTTTTTCATTATGAGCATCAATTTGATTATCAATATACCTAAAACTCAGATGAGGCAGAGTGTTTTTAACAATACGATAATTTAAGGGAAATTTATGCAATTAAATGAATTAAATATAAAATATTGTGTTTTTAAACATTCTTATTTTACTATTTGAATGATATGATAAACCCAGTTTACATATTATTTCTTATTTTTTAACAATATTATCAATAAATTATCATCAATAAATAGTTTGGATGAGATATTTACTGTAGGCGTATAAAATTGCTTATAGATCCCTTAGTACAGCTCGACAACGCCGATTCGACGAACCGACCATCGGGCGACGTATGCAGACACGATTGTTAGTCCACAACGCCGAAGCCAAGTGATACACGATGAAGCGGATTAACGAGGCTACGAAGCTAATGAACCGCACGCAAACAACGGAATAAATCCACTCACGTGCGGAATCAAGCTAACGGGTTGAAGAGTCAACGAGTCATCCAACCAAGGGCGGACTCGGACGAATCACGATCGAATCAAGATCAGTTTCGGACTCGAACTCAGAAGTGGATTTACTACCAAATCAGGAATCAGATTTACTGCCAAATCAGGTCAACGAATCAGAGTCTAAATCAACCACACAACCGAATCACGATGGAACCGAAAAATAGATACAACGACAAAACGACGAAACCCAACACCAAGGGGGGGCTTGGCCGAAACCGAGCCACCTCTAGGTGGCTCGGCCAAAGCCGAGCCACCTTGAGGTGGCTCCGGGTGTCGGCCACCTGTGCGCGGGCATAGTGAAGGTGGCCTATAAATAGGAGAGGTGGTTCATTTGTTCAAAGGTTGTATTTTTTGGAGGCGAAGTCCTGCCGGATTTGAAGCTCAGATCTAAAAAATATTCAAGCTTTGAGACTTCTAGGACTTGCTCATCCAGATCCGGTACTCGGCGATCGTCAACGCCAAATAAGGCAAGAGTTCGAGAGGAACCGGATCTCAAATCGGATCTCAGATCTACGCAGGCATACTCCGGATCAAAGCTTGGTCTTTGATCCCGAGAATTAAAGGCTACTATTTCCTTGGCGAAATAGTACCCTCGGCTATTATTTCCTTGGTGAAATAATACCCGTCATACTGCGTAGATCCGACCGGATCTAGATCTCGTGGTGGTCCACGGATAAACCCCGGCGCAGGTAAAGAACCCACAAAGTGAGCGACAGCAAAATAGGAGCTCGTGATTTGTTCGACAAACAAGGAGAAAATTGTAATCTTTTTTTTATTTTCTTTGATTTTCATTGTAACCGGATCTTATAAAAAGACCGGATCTTTGTAACTCAAAAAGTTGTTATTTAAGAGTGCAATGGAATCAACAATGAAGAAAGACACGATTTTTCCCGCGAACAATCTGGTGACCATAGTGGGAGCCAACGATCTCGCAGCCGAGATTGTAGCGTCGTAGCCACGTCAATCCCGGTCGAGGAGGAGGTCGAGTATGAATTCGACCAGGCCAAGTTCGAGGAGTATCTTTCATCCTCGTCTGGATCAACGTCCCCCCGCAAGTCCAAGAAGCTCTCCTCCAGGAGAAAAACTCGTTGGTATGAAGACGTCGAAAACACCAACGAAGATCTCACCCTGCTGGATGCCAAAGCCGCATCGGGTGAGATTCCTCCAATTCCCAACCAGGTCGGATCTGCTCTGGCCAACCCTTCTGCCGCAGGGGGCGTGGTGACTCTCTCGAAGAGAGCCCGCCAAAGGCAACGTCAACGCCTTGCGAAATAATTCACAAAGGCCATGGAGTCTGTTGACGGGATCCGCTACAACGCGAATCTGAAGAACAAGAGAGGCAAAAAGCCTCAACAATCAATGAATGGTAGTTCCTCCAAGCCGCCAACAATGGAATGGGTCCGTGTCAAACGAAACCGATCAACGCTGGAGGAGCGCATTCGCAAACGCCGCACACTATCAGCGCAAGCACGGGCTCAAGCTGAAGAAGCCCGTAGGAAGTTGCAGAAAGAGGTGGCCAAGAAGCCGCCATCAACAAGCAAAGTTTGGAGGCCGAAGTCTGAAGTGGCGGTTCAGACCAAAGAGCGTCAACTGCAGCCGTCGAAAGTTCAACTTCCGGCGAATCAATCCAAACCGCCGATGATTTCCACAACTATTCCGGGAGATCCCGCAGGACTATCCCAGAAAAGGAAGTCAGTCTTGGAGCGCCTCGGTCCACTCCCCGAGGACCGAAGCAAAGCTCCAATCCAAGGACGTTTGGGCCCACTAAGAAAATCTCGAATGGATCAACATGCTGGGGGTCGCCGCAACCCTTAACATGACAAAGAAATCATGGCACCCAAGCGCACTACCTTGCGCATTGAAGTCCAGGAGCCCGTTGAGAATTTACGCCCACAAAGGCGCGTTTCCACTCTCAGAAGGAAACGTTATCGTCTGATGATGATTACGTTATACCTGAGAAATCGTGCCAACACACGATAGGTTGCTCCGACTTTCAAACGGACGAGTTGTACTATCGTGCTGGGGGTACGAGCAAAGCCAGAAAGAGAAGTCCTCGAAGGCTAGAAACTCAGTGCCCTTGTTCAAAGCTCATTCGGGCGGTACTATCTGAGTGCAACTGCATCAAGGCAGTCCCTGAGAGAGTTTCGGTGTTCGAAAGACTTAGTACCGAAACGCCAAAATCAAAGCCTAGACGTTTCCGACAAAGAAGAACGATGGTTGAAGATGGAGAATTTCCGAGGGTCACCACCAATATGACCAGCAAAAGGGCATCAACACGGGATAATCCCGAGTCAATTCCGCCAATACCCCGCTATCTAACTCGTCTGCAGTCTGGAGCTATCATACGAGGAACTTACGGTAGGGTTCGGACAAGAACACCTTTAGAAGATGAAGAATCGGATGCCTGCTCTGCGGTCGCATCAGATAATACAGTGTCTAGCGAAGGACAACCCCGTGAGTCATTTATGATAAGCGCGGAACAAGTGGCCAAGATGCTCGAAGAAGCCATGGCCAAACAGCAGGAGAGCTTCAGGTTCGAAATGCAGATGGCCATGCAGAATATGAGAGAAATGCATGAGCAACAAATGCCGTAACCAGGTCGTTCAGGAAGAGGAGCACACGGATACGGATGAAGCTCGCAACGCCAATAATCCTCACGTCAATGCAGGGGGTGGTAATGAGAATGCTGATGAAGACTCAGGTGAAAACCTGAAGATTAAAAATCTCGAGAGCAAAATCAATACGTTGATTTCCGCTCAAGAAATGAAGAAAACGGGCATTCCTTATCCATACCCAAGAGAATGGGAATCAATTCCGTATCCGGCGAAGTTCAACTTAATCAACTTCACGCCGTTTGATGGGAAGGGTTCACCCACTCAACATGTGATTTACTTCAAATCACATCTGGGGGTCATCTCTGGCAATGAGCCTCTGATGGTACGGTCCTTCGTTGGCACTCTTCGCGGAGCCGCCTTCGATTGGTATCGCCGCCTCAAGCCAGGTAGCGTGAACAGCTGGGATGACATGGAGACTAAGTTCCTCGCTAACTTCTTCGACGACGACACCGAAATATCCATCGGAACGTTGCTCGACGAGAAACAAAAGGAAGGGGAGTTGGTCGACACCTTCGTCAAGAGGTTCCGGAACAAGGCGATGAACTGTCGGGACCCAATCACTGAGGAATTCATTCTCCAGACTTGCCACAACAACCTTGCATTGGACGTGTTGGAAGCAATGGGAA